CAGCATATTCCTCCTACTTACAATAATTTCCAATGTATTTATGATGATTGGAACATACCAATTAGTGTTCATAGGTACAGTATATAACAAAACTAAACTGCTCTCATTTAACCACAATAGAGAAACTATCCTGCCCACCATCAGCATAACCAATGCTCAACTCCTGGAGAGCAACATACTGTGCCTTCTTGAACAACCACATTGAATCAATAGCTGCATCTACTGCAAGGAAAGTTGGGTCACTGTGTTGTGGCAGAAGATTTTTCTTGTCAGAGTCTCTCTTGCACATTTACAAATCTACCATTCATCCATGGATTGAATACTGTTGCCATATCTGGTCTGTTGCTTCTGCTGTTCATCTCCAGATTCTTGAAAAATCCAAAGAAGTATCTGCAATGTAATCAATCCTGACTTGGCATCTCAACTTCAGTCACTTTCTCACCAATGTGATATGGCTTCCCTCTGTCTTTCCTACAAATATTTTCATGGCATTTGCTCTGATGAGCTTTCTTCCCTGGTGCCCTGACTTTGTGATTTTAAGCATGGTACTAGATTGGCATCTAGGTCCCACTCTTTTACTGTCGAATTGGTTAAATGTAACTGCCACTTCTACTCCAACAATTTCTTTTCTCACACTTCCTAACTGTGGAAATCCCTTCCATTCATTTGCTTCTGTGAAAACTACTATCTTTCAAAATTTAACTTCAATGTCAATCACCATCTTCTGTCTTCTTGAATCCTGTTCGTCTTTTATCCTTTCCTCAATTCCTCCTATAACCGAGTCTCTTCCCTCACTTTCACTATTTATAACCTTGGTTTCGTTTCTGTCAAAGAATTTTTTAAAGCCACAGCTACCGCCCAACAAGTGAAACAATCGATTATTGTCAATAAGTATTGGTATCCATCAATGTTGGGCAAGGAACCCACTAAATCAACATGGATGTGGGTGAACCTTCCATCAGGCTTTGAGAATGTACCAGGTGGAAACTTGGTATGGCGTTGTACTTTAATTTGCTGGCATTTTAAGCAAGTCTATGTCCGGTACTTTATGTCACTAGACATATTTGGCCAAAGAAAATGATCATTAATCATCTTGGTATCTGCTTTTCAACCAGGGTGCGGCAGAGAATGGAAATGTTTGAATATTTTCCTATTGAGAATAAGTAGACAGAACATGTCTAAATTATTTAACAAAACCTGTCTTAATGAAAATATATTGCCAAAATATACGCATATATATATATATATATATATATATATATATATAGTCTCACCATCTCCATATTGCTTCATTTCCATGTGACAGCAGAATTGGGAAAACAAGGGAGAGCAGTAAGGTGGGAAGAAGTTGTGAAGAATGGTAGATAAGAAATCTACAGAAAAATAAAAGCATGTATAAGGAAAGGGATGTAAAAAGTCAGACATACTTGCTTATGTTGAGTTTTTATACTTCTTTATCTCTTTGACCATTTAAAGTGGATACAGCTTTATAATTTCTTTTTCTTTCCTTTTGAACCATGATGTGTACCTTGTGTAGGAAAGTAAGTAGGTACTACGGTATGAATATATAGATCCTTCTTCTTCTGTATGCCATGTCTCTTCAGAACTTTGGCAATGATGGCTTTCTCCTGTATTTTGTAGCTCTTAATAACTTTTGTCTTTTTGCCATCTCTCCCAAACCCTGCTCTGTCATCCATTCAATCAATGTTGAAAGGTAGGTTGTGTGTTGCTTTCTTCTGTTCCTCAGAGACAATGGCAACAAAAAGGACATTTATGCTTAACATCAGGAAGAGATAGTTTGAATTTCTGGGGCAAATAATGAGGAAAGATAGCTTAGAAAATTTGATGTAGATTATTAATAATATCAATTTGATTGATCATTGTCTGTCATCATCATAGCAATATGCAAATTATTATGATTAATACACTTGCCTACATTAAAAAATTTTTTTCCAAAGGTCAAAGGTTTATCAAGTGATATATGATCATCATTTCAAAAATACCATTCATTGTGTTTAGTTAGGTCTGGTTTATAAGATAGGCTTCAATAATTCAAAACAAGTTGTACACAATAATAACACGTATTCAAAAGCCTGTGGACTCTACTTGTCACAGCTGATCATGGGTACCTGATGTTTAGTATAATGTATAATGTTGTATGTGTACCTAACTACAGTGTACCACCCTACTTGTTAACACCCAAGTACCTAGAGGGGGTGAGGCATATCCTTCAGCTTAAAATGATTTTAATGTACTGTGTCAAGTGTCAATGATGAGCTGAGTTCTGATTTATTTATTTCTCTTTTAAGTTTGACATTTGTGTTCCTGTAAGAATGGATCACAAGTGAAAGAATAATCCTGACAGGTTCTGTTATATCTGCAATAATGTGATTCTTCCTAACCATCAAGCAAAAATCACTGACTTTGTGAAGAAAGCATATCACGATTACTTTGGAGTCAAACTAGGTGATCAAGATAAGCCATTTTCTCCCCGCGTTTCCTGTAAATGGTAAAAGGAAGAGTATGCCATTTGCCATTCCAATGGTCTGGAGGGAAGGAAAAGATTGCATTACGGACAGCTATTTCTGCAGGATAAATCTAAAAGGAATAAATCACAAGAACAAGCACCATATCCAATACCCCAATATTCCTTCTGCCATAAGGCCAATCCCTCATGGCTCAGACCTTCCTGTTCCTGAGCCAGATGGTAACATAGAATATAGCTCTGATTCCAAACATAGTGACATGACTGTTGTAGTTGGGGGATGATGCATACAAGCCAGAAGAGGACGACCAGCCATTGACGACACAAGCAGAATTCAATGACCTAACACAAGACCTGAACCTTTCAAAACAGTCTGCTAAGCTGCTGGGTTCCCGTCTCAAAGAGAAACATCTGTTGGCACCAGGAACAACGTTCTACTGGTCTTGAGACAATGAGAGAGAATTAAGACAGTTTTTCATGTTCCAGGATAAGTCATCATTGGTTTATTGTAACAACATTGCTGGATTGATCAAATCATTGACTTTGTGAAGAAAGCATATCACGATTACTTTGGAGTCAAACTAGGGGATCAAGATAAGCCATTTGCTCCCCGAAGCTACAGAATGGAGACTTTTTATTGACTCATCCAGCAGAAGTCACAAAGCAGTTCTTCTACATCATGGGAATAGTTTTTCATCTATCCTTATTAGGTATTCAGTACAAATAAAAGAAACTCATAACAGCATGGATCCTTTGTTGTCTGCAGGAGCACAAATGGTTGATCCGTGGAGGTCTTAAAGTGGTTGAACTGGTACTAGGGCTGCAAGGTGGGTACACAAAGTATCCTTGATTTCTGTTTCTCTGGGACAGCCGGGCTGACAATCAACATTATGTCAGACAAGAGTGGCTGTTAAGACAAGAGTTAAAAACTGGCTTGCATAACATCCAGTGTCAAACTCTCATTGTACCAAACAAAATACTGCTTCCACCCTTACATATCAAGTTAGGAGTAATGAAGAACTTTGTGAAGGCAATGGACAGGGAAGGAAACATGTTTGCTTTCCTTCAGGAGAAGTTCCCATGGATAAGCATGGAAAAACTCAAGGCTGGTGTATTTGACAGCCCTCAAATAAGAGAACTCATGAAGGACCCAATGTTTAACAAAGCACTGAATGAAGCTGAACTGTCCACCTGGCAGTCACTGGAGTCAGTAGTTACAAACTTCCTGGGAAATCAACGAAGTGCGAAATACGAGAAGGAAATTAAAGAGCTACTTGAGGCATGAATGTCAGTCAAACTGCACTTTCTGCAGTCACATTTGGACTATTTTCCAAAGAACTGTGGAGATTTGCGTGAAGAGCAGAGTGTTTTCACCAAGACATTTGCATTATGGAAGAGTACTACCAAGGCCGGTGGGATGTAAACTTTCTTACTTAAAGCAGTAGCTGGTGCTTGAAATGGGATGTGGCAGCTGTCGAGCACGGGAGGAAGTCCCTGAAAAGACCTTTCATTCACGAATAGCTTTTTTTAGGTATTTTTCAGTTTACTATTGCACAATTTAAGCTTTCTGTGAATATATCAGCCTGAAATTTAGCATTATTTGTTCAATTCAGCAAGAAAATAAATAGTTATAATACTGTTCTATAAACTTCAAGTAAGAGCTTATAGCTTGAAAATTTGATCTGATTAGAAAAAATGTGTATGATATTTGGATTCAGCATAAAAAAAACTGACTTAAAATCAGCTATTATATACTTGACCTTGAAAACATCGCAGACCAGTGTTATTTTTCATTCTCTATACTCCAGCACTCTCCTCAGTATTCAGGCTATTTTCTGTAGTGCTATTGTCTGAATGGTTTTGATATTTCCTAGAAGGTCCTTTTCCAACAGTCTTTTCACTTGGCATTTCAGAAATTTTCCAAGAGCTTAAACTGTCACCTCCATATTTCACTGTCTTTTCATTTCTCTGTGGAGTTCCAAATACTTAACTAGCTTTTTGCTTTTATTTCTATGAAATAAGGGGCTTCCAATTGATGCAAAAGGGATGAGTGTTGCAATATTTTCCTATATATAGAATTTGCAACTATGACATGCAGCATCTTTTGTGCACTGTTCTCTTTTTAGCCATATTTATAGATATTTGAGCCCTTCGACATGATGTAATGTTACAAAACTTGTCTGGCTAGATCAATTACAACTGAACAGTGACTTCAGTCCTCACTAGGTGCCCCATACTTGTGCCTCAACTCTGCTATGGTTAGTAAATAAGGGCCACCTCAACATAGTGTAATGGTTAGCAAGCTTGTCTTACTAGATCAATTAGAACTGAGTAATGAGTTTGATCCTCACTAAGTGGTTCATACTTTCAGCCTTAGTAAATTGCTATATTCTGAGACATTAATTACCCTTTTGAGATTTTTTGACAAATATAATGCACATAGTGTATTATTTGGAGAGGCTGATTTGTTTTTATGGTTTATCAGCCCTTTGTAGGTTATTTAAAGTTGTAGCAAGTTCCCAAGCAGTACCCCATCTAAGTACTAATTTGGCTCAATGTTGCTTAACTTCAGTGATCAAACAAGAACTGGTGTTTTCAGTGTGATATCTGAGTATAGCGAAGAAAACAGCGACTTACCTCATCAAGCCAAGCAACAGCGCATTACATGTATTCTACGACGGAAAATGTGGTGAAAAAGAAAATTACTTACCAAACAAAAGGGGTACGTATTCCGCATGACATGCTGAAGATGGAATATTTGAATTAAAAAAAACAAAAAACAAGTCCATCGCAGGAGTTGCTATAAAAGTATTTTGATATGCAAAATACTGAACATCCTCTCCCAGCTGTCGATCAATGGAAAAAATGCTCGACCAATAAAACCTGTTGGTGTTCTCGAATCGGAAAGAAGAAATTTGAGTATTTTGGCTACCGCGTTTGTTGGAGAATGAGTTATTTTTCTGACCGGTTGCATGCATTGTGATTTGTGAAATAGTACTTGCGAATCGAGTTTTCGGCATTTTCTTTCTGTCCCCAATGTTTGAGTCTGAACTTAGTGATTTATTCTTTGTGATGTGGAAATAATCTGCAACAAACATTTCCTTTGTAATCCCAGATCACTTGCGAAGAGTAACTATACTCGAAAAAAATTTTTGAAGAAATGGACACATTCTTATTATTTACATTCTGACTAATGTCTTTGATTTTGTTTTTGTTATCAGGATGTGCAGGTGGTGTAATGGATAGAAACTCTGAATGAGGAATCAGAGAGCCAATTTCAAATTCCAATCAAGTTTGTTGTATTCACTTACATGCAAATACTCTTGGGAAAGGTATGAATTCATCTACTTCCTCCAGTTCTGGGCTAAATAGTAGGACTTGTATCTGGAAAAATTGTTAATGCAATATTCACTCATAGAAAAAGAATTGTTTTTACAAAAAATAAATAGCCAACAAAAGGTTGGTAACCCATACAAAAATACAAACACCTTTATCCACTGTGCCACTGTTGGTTAGATCCAGTGACAGGACCCAAAGAGTGTGAGTTCAATACCCAGTTAAGGCAGTGGAGAACTTGGAGAGGAGAATTAACAAGAGATAACCGATAACTGACATCCATTAAACATGGCACTTGGAACTAGAACAGTCTACCCTAGTGAGCGAAATAAAGGGTTCAGTTCGACATTCCCACCACCTGAAGATGGACGGAGTGTTCAACAGCCAAAACATTGTAATAAATATGGCGATAAAGATGAGGACAATAGTCCAAATAATGTAAATAGTGTGCATAATACCTCATCTCAGAAATATAGACTGACACTTTAGGTTATGTACTGGGTGAAAATCGCTAAAAAATAAAATAGCTATATTCAAATTTGTTGCATTAGAAAATGAATCTTTGAGTTTAACTTGTTAACACGCCTGTTTACTTCCACAGTGTTGAATCGGGTACTGTAAGAGACACCGCAACAACTTGAAAAGTGTTTTGACTTTAAAGCTTTTTAGTAATTACCATTTTATTGGTGCTCTTGTCATTTTTAATTGTTTCTCTCAACCACAAAATTTAAACTCTGAAATGTCATTTCTTACTTTTCCTGAACAGCCATCCACTAATCAGACATTTGCAACACACATGTATTTTGAGAAGAACTAACAAAGCAAAAAACTTGCGAAAAAAATAAAAATCTGAATCAGTCTCATTGAAGAGTTTTCATTGAATAGAGTGCAGTGGGGGTGTTAATAGAAAAGTAAGTAAACATTGATCTTGTTGGATAAGTTAGTTACCCACATCCCATTCTCCACCTGACCCCCAATCTCTCTTCCTAATGATTAGTCAGCCATTTAGAGTTCAATAGATAAATGTATCATGTTTCTTATGTGCATCTGCCTCCAAAGCTTTTCTTCCTTTCACCATTTTTCCCCATTTTGAAAAGCGGAATGAGAGACAAGAAGTAAAACACTGTCGATAATTTCATCTTTTGAGTCGTTTTTCAAATGAAACATCTTGAATCACTTCAATTTGTGATTTTATTTCATTGTGAGTGCAATTAGACATAATTCAGAGGGGGCTTCCTTGTTTTTCGATTTGTGGTCAGGCTTTGGTCTATACAACACAGATGCTGCATTCCTACTGGTTCACCAAAAAAGATGGGTAGGGAAAAGAGGGTCAAATACTACCTTGTATAATGTGTGTGGTGTGTATGTACACATGTGTATCTCTCTCTCTCTCTCTCTCTATATATATATATATATATATATATATATATATATATTGCATGCATACAAGTAGATGAAGCAAAGTTCTCAGCCCAACCAAGAAGGGATTCAAAAATCATCAAATGTTTATTCCTTTGGCAAGATTTAGGGAAGTGGATAAGGCCAAGAACACACACACACACACACACACACACATATATATATATATATATATATATATATATATATATGTGTGTGTGTGTGTGTGTGTGTGTATGTGATTTTAAGATATGCTATATTTATTGGTAAAGGTGCTCAATATCATAGAGTGTATGAGAAGATTGCATTCAAACATAAAAGAGACTGTCACCTCAGTGCTGATTGCAGTGTCTACTTTTACACGCACACACACATATATATATAGTTGTATTGGTGTGAGTTTGTGAACCTGGGTTTCATGCTATTTGTGATTGTGAGACCCAGGGTCACAAACCCACACCAATCCAACTAAATATGTTAGCTCTATCACTGATATTGAGTGCTTTCCAATAAGTATCATGTATTTATATATATATATATATATATATATATATATATGAAGAAATATAGTTTTAAGGTGTGCTATATTTATGGGATAAAGTGCTCAATATCAGAGAGCATATGTAAATATAAATATAAAAGTGAACATTGGCAGCCTGATGATTGCGTCAAGCCTGAAACAACCTGTTGCCTCTGAGTGTTGAGTTCAATGTTCACTCATATATATATATATATATATATATATATATATATATATATATATATATATATAGTCTTTACATTATTTGGACTATTGTCCTCATCTTTGTCGCCATATTTATTTATTATCTGCAGTCCATATAACATCAGGACAACCTTCAAAAGATTGACAACACTTCACCAATATCTCTCCCGAGTAAGAGCCCCCATAGAGGAGAATATGACTAAAGACTGTGTGTACGCTATCCTGTGCAGCTGCAGAAAGAAATATAAAGGAGAGACAGGCCGGCCCCTCAAGGTAAGGCTTCAGGAACACCAGAAGGCTGTAACATGAGGGGAAGTGGAAAAATCAGGAGTGGCTGACCACATATGGAGAGAGAAGGGAGATCACCACCCTCTGTGGAATCATGTTGAGATCATAGACAAGGAACACCACTCGAAAATTCGTAAACTTAAGGAATCAGCACATATGCTAGGCCACAAAAATCTCCTGAGCCAACCAAGTATAGAAATAAATACAATATATACCAGTAATAAGGAGTGCCAGAGAAAAGCAATGATAACAACAAAGTTGCAATATGAGCTCTGGTAAAAAAACAAACAAAAAAAAAACATGCAATGATAACAGCAAAATTGCAATATGAGCACTGGTAAAAATGATTGCTGAAGACATTAGGTTTATAATACCCAGAAATTCATACCCAGATGTCCACATGGCACAGTGGATAAAGACATTAGTTAGATCCAGTGATAGGACCCAAAGAGTGTGAGTTCAATACCCAGTTAAGGCAGTGAGAACTTTCAGAGGGAAATTAACAGGAGATAACTGATAACTGACATCCATTAAACATGGCACGTGGAACTAGAACAGTCTACCCCAGTGAGCGAAATAAAGGGTTAAGTTCAACATGCCAGCCACCTGGAGAAGGCCGGAGCGTACAACAGCCAAAACATTGTAATAAATATGGCGACAAAGATGAGGACAATAGTCCGAATGATGTAAATAATATACATAATACCTCATCTCAGAAATATATGTATGTTAGTATGTGTAGGCTATCTGAAATGGATTGTTCTGGTTGGTATATTGATGGTCTGAAGATTGTGTTCAAGCATGAAACAGACTGTTGTAGTGATTGACATTACATTTAAATTTTTTGCAAATTAAAGTTGGCTGGAAAGCATAGAGCCTGAAGGGAGTTCCACAAGTAAGAAGTACAAGAAAAAAACTGTTAGCTATATAACTTGCGGCTACATCTAGCCAGCTCAACTGCAAATTAATGATATCTTGTTGCCAGTTCTAGTACTGCACTTAAATTCAAAAAGTTTAGATACCGGAGCAGAGCTCATCTGAACAATTACCATGAAAGCATTTATAAAAAAGGGGACAGAGAGGCAACCTTATGGTAATGGGAAAGTGAGTGAAGCTGAGCTACCAGATCAGGATCAATAATATTGCAGATTCTTTTTTGCTTGAAAGTGGTTTCCTGATTAGAAAGGAAATGCAGGTTTGATTGCTGTTGAGAGATACATTTTCTTTACAATATCTAGGCTGATAGATATTAATATCTCTGTTTAAAAAACTAGGATATCTACTTGTGCACATGTATCCACTAACTATAGTTTCTATAGTTATAAGAGATCTTGTTAGGCAAAAAATTCATTAACGGATTAAAAATTAGCATGGAATATATACAAATTTACATTTAAAAAATTTATTATTGGAGATAGAAAAATTGTGCATTGGATAAACTGCATTAGGGGTAGTTTGTATCAACACTGCAGGATGCTACAAACTAAAATATTGGTCTAAGAACTCAAGTACTTAAATAGCCTTGTCAGCTCTAGACTGTCATGTGGATGTCATATGTAGCATCCGATTCCTTCAAAAATCTATAAACTATCAGCTATATACAACCTTTTTCTCAGATCAATGTTTAAAAATGGCTGCAAGTAATTGATCCTGTCAGTTTTAAAAAAGATAACCCTTTATCAAATCTTACAGACTGGAACTGCAGATTTACAAAGAGCTTTATTAAATTGCAAAAACTTTATCACTTCTAACAGTAGCAACAACTAACACAGATAACATATGTAAGTCAAAGGAAAAATAATGATATAATCAAGATGTTGACTTTCCACACTACCTTAAACAAAATGTTAGGAAGGAAACTCCCATCAGTACTAGAAAGAGCTATAACAGCTAATGGACTTGAGAAGTCAATTTTCCTGAAAAACTGTTTGAAGAGAAAGATTTTGTAAATTCTAATTGACACTAATGTTAACTATTTACTATTTACATTGTTTGAACTGTTGTTCTCATCTTTATTGTCATATTCATGAGGTTTTGTCCATTGTATGTTTCAGCCTTCTTCAGGTGATATACAATGGGATTTCAAACGAAACCCTTTATTTCATCCACCATGGTAGATTCTTCTAGTTTCATGTGCCTTGCCTTTTTTGATATCCAAGTCTCAGTTATCTCCCTTTAGTAACTGAACTCTCCAAGTTTTTGTTCCCCTCTGCTCTATATATCATGTGAAGAAGGCTAGAAACATCCTGAATAAAACAATAAAGATGAGGACATTCTGAACAATAAAAATAGTGTAAATAATTACAATACCTCATCTCAGAAATATAGGCTGACTAATGCTAATTAATGCTGAATGTTTCCTGCATTGAAACAGTAATCCCATCATTATTATACGAAGAAGAAATTCTTGAAGCAATTCTTGGTTTATGGTATGTTGAGTTTTTGAAAGCTATTAAATATAGACTTATTGAAAAAGAAAAAAAATTGACAGTGTTTATTGCAATGTCTTTTTCTTTAGTTTAAGAATTATCATATTTTCCAGCTTACAAGATACACTTTTTTTCCTAAAAAATACTCTGAAAAATACATGTCTTCCAAAACAAATTTAAGGCAACACCCAGTCTCATGTAAGCTTGGACATTCACTTAAGTGGCTTGACTGATAGAGACATGGATTTGTATGTTGAGTCATTACACTATAATGTTAGCTATCTATCTAATTCAGCTTTTTATATGATTTAACCTCAGTACTTAGCTGTTGCAAGTATTCCCAAGACTATAAACCTTCCTGGAGCTGAGCCACAAGCTTAAACATGCTCTGTTTACTAGCAGCAGCAGGAACCTTTCTGCTCTTGGCTAGTATGTCATTGCTATATAAACAATACATGGTACCAGTATGTGAGGAATACATGGTGAATGCATTGTTATATGAGAATGACTTTCTTTTTCTTAGAAATTTCTTTTCAATATTAGGTGCATCTTCCAAGCCGCAGCATCTTGGAAGCCAGAAAATATGGTAAATAGAGGATGCAGCAGAAATACCTCACACATAATCATAAGACATTAAGTGAAGACACCATCGCCACTAATGTCTTACCATTATGTGGGAGGTAATTCTGGGAGGTATTTCTACCACACACTATATAAATAGACAGTTGATTTAGCAGCCATGTATTGAAGTGAACAGTTAGTGAAATAATTGATGAAGTTATCAACAAAATGCATCATCTCAGGTGTAAGATTTACAGATATAAAAGTGAGAGTAGAATTTAGTATATAGTTTTATGATATTGGTATTCTTTGTAAGTTGCCAATTTGGTGTTGTCGCCTTTGTCTCCAAACCCCCAACTGACTTTATTCCATCCAACTTCCTGGACAAACCTATTTCCTGTCTTTATCCACAGTGACTTAATGCACTATTGCAGCCAAAACATAAAGCCTCTTTTATTCTGGCCATTTCTTATAATTCTATTTCTTTTTTCTTCTTTTCTTTGGAGAATGTCAACTATTCCACCTAACATTATAAAAACCTATCTCATGTCCCCCCGTAACCATGCCCACTCATCTTGTCTTTCTCTTTTTCCCACTTCTTATCTTGTTGTGAAGAGAGCTTGGCCTGCGAGAACCTGAAATCAGGGATCTCTGGATTGGGAAAGGCTGGATAAAACTATGCGTGACTTGGAAACTAAGAATGAGATCATTGTATCTTAATGAGTTACACACACAAGATGCAACAAAAAGCAATCCGTTAAGGCATTTTTGAATGACAAAGAATAAAGGAATAGGGAGAAAGTTCCATGCTTCTATTGACATGCCATCAAGAGGGTTCCCTGCCTCTCCTAAATCAATAAGTATATGTCATCTTACTGCTCAGTCCCAACCCCCAACATTTTTTCTCTGGTCGACATACATTGCTGATCTGTTTACTTATTTTCTTTTACCATCACCTCTTCTTCCTTCTTCACAGCATTTATAGATATTTTATTCATCCACTGTCAGTTTAATATGCAGTCCCTTTTGTGGAAATGACTTTGCTGGTCGTTTAATGCCTTCCTTGTCTTTTTCGTTCTTTCTTTTCTATGTTTTCCTTTTTCTCCTTTTGCCATTTTTCTTTCTTTTTTTTTTTTACTTCTATGTTTTCTGTTTCATTCTCATTATTCTTTTCTTTCATCTGTCTTTGCTTTATCCTCTTTTTACCTTTCTTCTCCACTTTTTACTTGCTCTCTCTCCTTTCTCTTCTCTTCATCACCAATCATCTTCCTGTCTTCCTTCTTTTTATCTCCTCTTTGGCTTTCTTTTTCCATATTGTTAACTCACTTTTCTTTCTTGATTTTCACATTCTGTTTTTACTTCTTTGATGCCTCCTCACATTGTTTTCTTTCATTTCCTCTTTTTCTTCTTTTTTCTTTTCTCTTTCCTTTCTTCAACTTCAGCTTTCCTCTTTCTGTTCTCCCTCTTTGTCTTTCATTCAATTCAATTCATTTCTCTTGTTTCTCTTTGTTTTCTTCTTTGATGCCTCCTCTTATTGTTTTCTTTCATTTCCTCTTTTCTTTTTTTTCTTTTTGGTTACTTAAACTTCAGCTTTCCTCTTTTCATTCTCCCTCTTTCTCTCTCATTCAATTCATTTCTCTTGTTTCTCTTTTTTCTTCTTTGATGCCTCCTCTTATTGTTTTCTTTCATTTCCTCTTTTTCTTCTTTTTTCTTTTCTCTTTCCTTTCTTCAACTTCAGCTTTCCTCTTTCTATCCTCCCTCTTTGTCTCTCATTCAATTCAATTCAATTCATTTCTCTTGTTTCTCTTTTTTTTTCTTTTCATTTATATCTTGAAAAAAAAAACAGTTTCTTTAAACTTTCATTGGTTCTGTCACTTTGCTCACGAAATATCTGAGGGCAAGGAAACTGGCTTCAAATATTTAAAAAAATTATCATAAAAGCAAATTTTAGAAATATCTGGGACAATCTTTTTTACAGCTTTGAAGTTCTTGATTTCTGTCAACTTTCTGTTTTTTTTTTTATTCTATTTTATGTTTGAAAAGAGCTAAAACTTCTGCACTACAGTAAAAGGTATTTTTTCAGATTAATCCATGCACATTTTTCTTCCAAAACTGCTTGTTTTGCAGACATTATAATCAATGAAATCTGAATCAGTTTTATATATTTCTCAATAAAATGTATGGGAAGTTAATTGAATTTTCAGGAGAGTGTCCTTCATCAAAAATACAAATTTTGCCAAAAATAGAAAAACAATTCAATGAAAGATATTTAAAATAAAGTTGGATTGATTGATTTGTTTTTTTATGGCTTATCAACCTTTTGCAGGTTATTTATAATCAGAAAATACTTTAGATTGTAAAAATTTGGGGGAAGATAATAATGGTTTATTGATAAAAGTTCTACTAATTAACCACAAGCTGGAGAGAGATGATCCATTTGCATGTCAGTGAATATGATGAACCTGACTGGAATTGAAACTCTGCTCTCCAATTTCCAATTCTGAGCTCTTATATATTACACCAGCTGCACAGCCAAACTTACAGCAACTGTTCCCAAGTAGTCACCCATATAGGTACAGACTAGGTTTGACATTGCTAAACTTTGTTAATTGTATGAGAACCAGGGTTTCAACATGATATCATTGTAAGATAGAAGAAAAATACAAAAGGAAAGAGATGAGGGAAAGATGTGAAAAGAAAGAGTGATGGGAGACAGAGAAAGAAGGAAAAGATAGGAGACAGATAAGATACTAAGGGAAAGAGATGAGGGAAAGATATCAAAGAAAGAGTGATGGGAGACAGAAAAAATACAAAAGGAAAGAGATGAGGGAAAGGTATATAGAGAAAGAGTGATGGGAGACAGGAAAAGAAGGAAAAGATAGGAGACAGATAAGATACCAAGGGAAAGAGATGAGGGAAAGATATGAAAAGAAAGAGTGATGGGAGACAGAAAAAGAAGGAAAAGATGGGAGACAGATAAAATACAAAGGGAAAGAGATGAGGGAAAGATATGAAAAGAAAGAGTGATGGGAGACAGGAAAAGAAGGAAAAGATGGGAGACAGATAAAATACAAAAGGAAAGAGATGAGGGAAAGATATGAAAAGAAAGAGTGATGGGAGACAGTAAAAGAAGTAAAAGATGGGAGACAGATAAAATACAAAAGGAAAGAGATGAGGGAAAGATATGAAAAGAAAGAGTGATGGGAGACAGGAAAAGAAGGAAAAGATGGGAGACAGATAAAATACAAAAGGAAAGAGATGAGGGAAAGATATGAAAAGAAAGAGTGATGGGAGACAGGAAAAGAAGGAAAAGATGGGTGACAGATAAAATACAAAAGGAAAGAGATGAGGGAAAGAAATGAAAAAATACAAAAATGATGGGAGACAGGAAAAGAAGTAAAAGATGGGAGACAGATAAAAAACAAAAGGAAAGAGATGAGGGAAAGATATGAAAAAAGAAAAGAGTGATGGGAGACAGGAAAAGAAGGAAAATATGGGTGACAGATAAAATACAAAAAGGAAAGAGATGAGGAAAGATATGAAAAGAAAGAGTGATGGGAGACAGGAAAAGAAGGAAAAAGATGGGTGACAGATAAAATACAAAAAGGAAAGAGATGAGGGAAAGATATGAAAAGAAAGAGTGATGGGGAGACAGGAAAAGAAGGAAAAGATGGGAGACAGATAAAATACAAAAAGGAAAGAGATGAGGGAAAGATATGAAAAAGAAAGAGTGATGGGAGACAGGAAAAGAAGGAAAAGATGGGAGACAGATAAAATACAAAAGGAAAGAGATGAGGGAAAGATATGAAAAGAAAGAGTGATGGGAGACAGGAAAAGAAGGAAAAGATGGGTGACAGATAAAATACAAAAGGAAAGAGATGAGGGAAAGATATGAAAAGAAAGAGAGATGGGAGACAGGAAAAGAAGGAAAAGATTGGTGACAGATAAAATACAAAAGGAAAGAGATGAGGGAAAGATATGAAAAGAAAGAGTGATGGGAGACAGGAAAAGAAGGAAATGATGGGTGACAGATAAAATACGAAAGGAAAGAGATGAGGAAAGATATGAAAAAAAAAAAGAGTGATGGGAGACAGGAAAAGAAGGAAAAGATGGGTGACAGATAAAATACAAAAGGAAAGAGATGAGGGAAAGATATGAAAAGAAAGAGTGATGGGAGACAGGAAAAGAAGGAAAAGATGGGTGACAGATAAAATACAAAAGGAAAGAGATGAGGGAAAGATATGAAAAGAAAGAGTGATGGGAGACAGGAAAAGAAGGAAAAGATGGGTGACAGATAAAATACAAAAGGAAAGAGATGAGGGAAAGATATGAAAAGAAAGAGTGATGGGAGACAGGAAAAGAAGGAAAAGATTGGGGACACATAAGAAGTAAAAACAAAATACGTAGAAATGAAAAATTAAGAAGCATCACATCTGGAAAAATGTGAAGAAAGATGAAAGCTAGAAATATGTGAAAATGAGAGAAAAATATAAAAGAGACAGATAAAAGTAAGATATGAAAGAAAAAGATGGTGAAAAGACATTATGAAAAAGACAAAAGCAAGATAAAAAGGAAAAGATACGGATGAAAAATATAAAGAGAAAGAGAAATCAAAGAATGATGTGAAGAAGCGAGATGGAAAAAAGACAGCAGAAAAAAGTGGTAGAAGTGGTATAAAGAAAAAGATGAAAGAGAATGAAAAATATGAAAGAAAAGAGATGAAAGGAAGATATGAAGTAGTGAAAAAGAGAGTGTGAGAAAGATATGAAGAGAAAGTGAGATAAGATAAGGAAAAAAGATAGAAGAAAGATATAAAGTGGGGAAGAAAGAGAGTGAGCATGTTGCACTCTTCTTTTTGCTGACACCCATACATTCTATTTTCTTCTCTGGGCCATATCCCCTCAGGATGTGAACGATGATGGCTCTCCACAATATCTCCAGTAACTTTTATTAAATTTTATCTTTTTGTTATCTCTTCTAACTTTGTTCCAATATCCATTTACTTAAACTCAATAGATAAGTTATGCATTGTTTTCATCATTCTCTCTTTCAATCTGTCCTGTGAGTATCAGATTTTCCAAGCCCTCTTTCCTCATTATGTACCTTAGAAATGTTCATTTTCTGTATTAGTGTCATTTTTGTTTCCATGTTTTCTAAAGCTTCATCATTGCTCACATTTCCAGACCATGGTATTCACAGCATCTTTCTATAGAACCATATTTCTCTTACTTCAAGTCTCTTCTTCATCTATGAGGAAATTGTCTAGCATTCACTGCCATAAAGGAGGACTGATATAACATGACAATTCAATATTCTTTTCTTTGTTTTCAATGAAATTATTCTATTTCTTAATACTTTGCTTTTGGAAGACATCTTTTGATATCCTAGTGTGCCTTCAGATTTCAGTGTAGCACTTTCCATCCTCTGTTAAAACACTTACCAGATATTTAGATTGTTATACTTGTTTGTTTTTGATATCTCCATTTTGTGATTTGTATGTTGGCTGTTCCTTTTGCTAAAAACCATGCATTCTATCTTGTTACAATTGATGTTTAGTCTTTTCTATTTGCTTTCTTTCATTACATTCCTGAGGAGTATTTGTAGTTTTATTTCTTTGTCTGCCATCAACACTTTGTCATATGCATATCTTTTCTTGCTAATATTGTGCCTGCCAATAATGAATCCTGGTAGGACTTCTAATTCTCTCAGAATTGACTCACTGTATAGGTTGAATAAGTACAGTTTGAAGACAAATCATTGTCTTACTACCCTTTCTATTTTTGTATATTTATTGAATTAATTTTCTATCTGTATACTTGCAGTATATGTTCTGGATTATTCTAATATGCCTCCCAAATATCTAGAAATTATCTGGAAGTTCCAACAGTTTTTTGTGACATACATTATCAAATGTCTATCTATATTTCTGAGATGAGGTATTATATACACTATTTACATTATTCGGACTATTGTCCTCATCTTTTTCGCCATATTTAGTACAACGTTTCAGCCTTTCAGTATCTGTCTATATTTCTGAGATGAGGTATTATGTACACTATTTACATTATTCAGACGATTGTCCTCATCTTTGTCGCCATATTTATTAAGTTTCAGCTGTTGAATGCTCAGGCCTTCTTCAGGTGGTTGGAATGTCGAAATGAACCCTTTATTTTGCTCACTGGGGGAGACTGTTCTAGTTCCATGTGCCATGTTTAATGGATGTCAGTTATCAGTTATCTCCTGTTAATTACCCTCTGCAAGTTCTTCAATGCCTTAACCGGGTATTGAACACTTTGCGTCCTGTCACTAGATCTAACCAACGCCTTTATCCACTGTGCCATGTGTGACACATGGCACAGTGGATAAAAGCGTTAGTTAGATCCAGTGACAGGTTTTTTTTTTACTTTTTTTACAACTTAATGTTTTTTTTTTACTTTTTTTACAACTTAATGTTTTTTTTTACTTTTTTTACAACTTAATGTTTTCATTTATAAAAAAATGTCTGTCCTGTATTAAAGTCTTTTTTATTGGTCTTCTATAGAAATATCACTTTTATATTGTCTAATTATTATATCTTTTACACTTGTATTATTTTTTACATCGGGTCACTGTACAAGAGCTACTGGTACTATTATGTAATACCTGCCACATGGTTGGATCATCAGCAACTAAACCAGTTCCCCCACCAGGCTTCTGATGAGGTGCATGACTTGACACCCAATAAGATTAAAAACAAAACCTGTCAAAAGGTTTCTTCTTGTAGGGTCAAAGGTCATCTAACACAATGGGGTAAAATGGGTTTTATTTGGTAACCAATGTCCAAAACACTCTTTAATCTGTTGTTAATTGGGACAAAAGATGGCTTGTTAATTTTAACACCTCTAAAACTAAACTTCTCTCCAGTAAACATCTGTAAGACCCCTCTAAGCCTTCCATCAGCATGGCTGATGCTAACCTCCAGGAAAGTGACTTGTTCTGCCTTCTCAGGTTAACATTTTCAACTGACATGAAGTGAAAAGACTATATTGAATTCATTGTAAGGTCACCTGTTAAGAAAGTTAGTTCCCTGTGTCATGCGAGACAATTTTTCTCTCCAAAATCTATCTTACATATCTATAAGTCTACCATTCGAATATTGCTGCCATATATAGTCCGGTGCCTCTGCTATTTATCTTGAGTTCCTTGGTAACTAGGCTTTTTGAATTTAAGCACAGTACTAGAGTGGCGGCAAGTTGAAGTCGCTAGATGTAACTGTAAATTCTATGTTAACAGTTCTCATTTGTGAAACTCCCTTCCAGCTCAATGTTTTCCAGCCAACTTTAATCTTTAAATATTTAATATGCCATGTTAATTGCTATCTACTGTCCTCCTGGTTACTTTTTTTGTTCTCACTCATTAGTAATGTTTCTATTTCTAATTCTTTCACAACCAGTAACCCCTTGTGTCTTAGTGACTTTACTGTCATGCATGGGGTGAAATCGATTAAAAAAATGTATGCAACCAAGGTCATGATAACACAGCATTAGTTTTCAAAGGGCTTCCTGCACTGTAGCCAAAAGCCCTGGTGAAGGGTTTCACAGATAGAATTAGTGGCCATCTGTCCAAGCCTTCAAGTTGAAGGACATTGGCTGTGAGTGTTGAATTCTCCAAAACTTCTTTCCTCATTATTTGTCATAGAAATTTAAACTATCTCTATATGTACATATAGTACAAGTGTACAGTATATACACATGTATAAGCTAACTTCATGTATAGTATGACCCATGAATTTTTTGCCTATATTTTAACCCTTCCAGAAAAGATTTACCTGTATTTTTCAACAAGTCACTGAAAATCAAAAATTTACCTGTACATAGGGCAACCCTCTAGTTTTTGAGAAAAAAATATTATAAAAACTTGCACTATATTATATACAGTAATTTTTGCTTTCATTTTCGTTTAAACATTCTTGTTGCTCACATGCTCCATCCATGGTATTCTCAGCATCCTTCTGTAGAACCACAGTTCTATTACTCCAAGTCTCATTTTCATCTGTAAGGAAATTGCCCAGCATCCTCTGTTATATAGGAGAATAGATATTACATAACAGTTCATCACTTTTTTCTTTGTTTCTAACAAAATTTTCTCATCTCTTAATATTTACTTAGTTTCTGAAAGGCAACTTTCACTATTCTAATGCTACTTCAGAAGTATCTATTTTTACAACTTTACAGTTCCACATCCTATCTTTCTACAGGGAATAGTTTCTTATTGATAACACTAGAAAGCAGGGTGGTACTAACAAGACAAGCTCTTTCCCCCAAAATGCCTACCACCATTAATATAGCAAGCACCATTTGATTTCTCAGTTCATGACTAATTTTCCTTTGTATCAAACATGTTTATATTCTTCTTCCTTAATAATAACTGTTGTAGCATGTCTAGAGATGATAATGGGTATGTCCTCATTCACATAGACATAGTAGTAAGTACTGTATGTTGGTCTGCAGTTGTTGAATCAATGTGGAATTCCCTTGACTCACTTCTAGCAATTGACTACTTCTTCTATGCACCACTGGTGAATCTTATATGTGTTGTTCTTTTTCTAAGTATTATTGTTCATTCCCAACCCTTGTGGGATTATTCTATTCAGTAAACTTCCCTAGGTTACAACAATAACATTGTTGGAAGATAAATTACAGTACATAACCAATAAGGCATTTGTAACTTTTCATTTTCCTCTTGGTTCCCTTTATTTGTTTTTGCTTTCACTTTTATTTCATTCTTTTTCTTTTTCATATACAAAGTCTCTCCGAAAAGTATCTGGCCATTTAATATTAACAGCAAAAAACAGCCTACTTCAGTGGTAACCTATTCAACTTCAAAGTACCCTGCTAGGAACCTTAACCCAGCTTCACTTCTACTTTTCAAAAACAACTACAAAGTTGCCCCTTGGAACAACCATCAGCTGACTCAACACATTCTCCTTCATCTCTCCCATGGCATTTTAACAGCAAAGTCTGGACTGTATGGGAGTTGGTGCCTGAGAAACATAAGCAATGTGATATTTTGGCAAAAATCCTTATGAAGATTCTCCCCACTGGGGCATTCTGAATGTAATGATCACAAGATACACATGCTCATTCAATGATGTCAAAATGTCCCCTGATTAACTCTATGGGAGTGTATCTTTTCATGCATACACAGTAAAGTGCCATTTCACTGGTTGTCAAGTTACATCAAGGCTGCACAACTGGTTCCTGAAATATTAATAATCTCTGGATATATTCTAAACAAACTTCTTATTATTTTCTACTCTACAGCCCCTTTTCCACAAATGAAAAATCACAAGCTTCTCACTGCTCTGTCCCTATTTCCATGTTTTCAGATGAACGACATTCCTT